CATTTGAAGATTTGTTTAAAAAATGACAAATATCCATTTCAATTATACTGTATAGACCATTTATATTTAAAAATAAACAATATTGTAATGAGTTAAGATTTGTGACTCACCGTATGATATAACAGCAACCTGTATTGCAATCCCATGGTTTTTTTTTTCTTGTGGTTTTTGTCCAGGTTCTTTTGTTTCTGCCCAAGACTTGGTGCTTTGTTTGTGATAGAATATACTGACTGTAAGCATATTTGGAAACAGAAGTAGGAAATTGATCTTCCGGCTTAGGGTTCTAGTTTATAAGGCCTGTCATCGATGCAAGGGTTGTGGTTTTCGATTGCATGTTTGTGAGTGACAAGTGTAGGTGTGTCTGCTTGAATCTCATATTCTCTCTCTGCTAAAGCTCACTACATGTATCCGCCTACCATATCGTTCAAGGGAGCCACGGTGGCTGAGTGGGTAAGACGCTGGCTCACTAGCCTTGAGGTCGAGTGTTTGATCCCTGCATTGACCGAGAAAGTTCATTGGGATTTTCCGACGTGGTTTCCCATTGTCAGTGGTGCAGGATGGAAGGCCAGACAAGGACAGCTGTCTAGTCGTTCGGATGGTATGATATACATTGGCGTCCATGTAAAAGATCCCTCGGCAGTCAGAATTCGATATAAGAGGCCATAGTGCCACTGCCAGGGGAAAATTTCCCTCATAGCACACTGCATGGCATATGCCCCTCTTTATTAACCCAGTCAGAGCAGAATAGTAGGACAGTAAACACATTTCATTTTATTTCATATCATCCAAAGGATGTTTCTAGTTATATTTTACCCAATTTTATTGGTTCAGAGAAATAGATAAAGAAATGTGCAAGAATTATTAACAAGCAAAAAAAATGATATATCAGACCCTAAATGACCTAGTTTGTGTTGAGTGGATGTTAAACCCCATTCTCGGTCTCTATTTTTTCTCTTTTTCAATTAAATATCAATTGTGTAGCCTTGTCTACTTGTGGTTCTTAAGAATATATCTCAGTTACTGTTTCTATTAGCTATTTGAATTAGTTCTGTGTAAAACCCGAGTGAATTTTCCTGGTAGTGAATAAATAATCAACATGCCGTCAAGAGGAGGTAAATATTGTTAGTGTATTGTTCCAATATCTCCTCGTTACTTTTTGTTACCTGTGTGCACCTGTTAATTAGATCTGCTAATACACTGATGACCTGCTGGAAAACGACTAGACGACAACAAATAATACTACACACACAAACGTAAATAAAACTTTTCGTAAATGTCTAGGAACTCTTTAGGTTTGGTTTATGTAACAATTTTATAGTTCATGTCTCTCATGTATTTCCAGTTCAATTATTAGTAAATACCATTAAAACAACTCTCTTATTGGATAACAAAATTAAAACATTCAAAAGGGCAATACAGAATTATTTCACTGGCAATGCATTGATTAAATAAATCCCACAAAATATGAATTGGACAGATGTGGAGGAACAGAATTACATGTACATGTACATGTATGATTATTTGTGATAATATTACTACTCAAAATGTATTAGATATCTTTTGACTTTTTGTACACCTAATTGGAAACATTTTTGTGTGCTTGTTAATTGTGCAAGGAAGCTTAATCAACTCGGGCAAAGTTTAATGGTATAGTATTTTTTTGTGTAGTTCAAAGTAAAAAGCATTTTGAAAAAAGAAATGTTTAGTGAAAAGTAAGGAAATAAGTTTTCAGTTTGTATTCAATGACAGATTGTGAAGGAAATAGTGTTAAAAATGAATTGTATATTATTATATGTGATTATATATATTCAGTAAACAATTCATGATAATGGGAAGCAATCTTATGGAAACTTTCCCCCAAAGATGTTAATCTGATAGTGAAGAAATAAGGAATTTTGAAAAATCTACGTGTAATTATTGACAAGATGAACCTCAGAAATTCAGTTATATGTTCAATGCCCAAAGTTTCAGTTATATACATATACATGTATATTATGATGAACAGTTGTATTGATATAGATAGATCTCTTGAAGATGTTGAACAGACTTAATTGATAACATTGTGTATTATTCATCAATTATTTGCGTTAATGTATTAATAATTAATCTTAATGATTTGTTTATAGTTGAATCCTATAGATTGATTTACAATTTAATAATTAAACGAGACATCTAGTGTCCTGATATATCTCCGAGGACTACTATTGCTACATGTATACCATTCCTTATTCTTAATCACGGATGAAGTAGGATACATGGAATTAGATAGGGTCATTTTAAGGAACTTTGAGATATTAGTCAGATTAAATGAACGTATAGAGTAATTTTGAATTCATGAAACCCTGTTCTTTTATCAAACCCACACTAGTGTTGAAAATCGGATCGAGATTTGTGATCCGAATACTTTTGTTGGCTATCCGAATACTATTCGGATAATTCGGAGACGTGAAATTCTTGAACACAATTACATCAAAAGTTCATATACCGGTACTTTTCTTACTTGTTTCAATGTGTATGAGTGTCTGTATGCCGAGAATGAAATCGTACTTTCGATTTGCAAATTGTTTGAGCCGCGAAGAAAAAAACGTGCCTACCTTTAGCCGTAATTATTAAGACTATGTATGACACCGGTCTGACATCCCAAAAAAATCAATGAGGTGAAGGAATTTGTATAGTATAACTACTCCAGTTATCCGCACCCTCCCACTTATCATTTTGCTCAATCAACACGAATGAAAAAAGTAAAATAAAACCATGTGCCATTTATTCCGGCAAGGTCATTTGCCTCATTCTGATAATCTACTACTATTGAACCAATCAGTGAATGGGAATATACGTGACCTAGGTCGTTATGAATAAATTTCATTGTGGGAAGTCAAAACACGGTCTAAACTCGTATGCCGTAAACTAGCGCAGGGAATGAATGAATATTTTTTTTATTTAGACTACTGTTTTTGTTGCACTGCATTAATAATTTTATTAGTTACTATCACTAAATAATACGCATAATGTTGACATTTAATAATTTATGCTCATGGAGCTGCGTACGTGATCAATTGCATTGGGGAAAATTTCAAAGTGATCAGACGTAAAAATGGCTAAATATAGAGCATACGGAATGTCAGAATATATTGTAACGAATAGTAAACGGATAGTAAAATGATTCGGATAACCCTTATTTTGTATCCGTTAACGAATATCCGAATAGTAGTTTCAACACTAACCCACACAATCATTTTCTTACATCATGAAGTTTGAATAGTAGATCAAACTTTTACAGGCTTTTTGAATCTTCCCCTCAATGCTTAAAGATGGGTTCCCAGAAAAGTATTTATCGGGTGGTTATTTCCAATAAAAGTATGGCAATTTTGGTATATATGGAAAGTAGAGATATCCAATCTTACTAGAAAAATACTGGATTCCCCGAAAAACACTCATGGAGCGTATACAGGACAAAAATGTAAGGGTTCCCCTAATCAACAGCCTGACGATTATGACCTTCTGCACGCACGATGTCAAAGGTCACAAGCGAACATTGAGCGCTTGATGTACAAGTTGATAAACTTTATGAAGAGTTAGACGTACAATACTTTCTGAGATAAAAATGACGGAAAAAGACGGGGGTAGTTGATAATCCGAGAATTTAATTAGGATTCGATATTTGTAATAAATAGTAAGCGATTAAAGACAACATCGTCTTATGTATGCAATGATTTCTCCTCTGACTCCCAAGACGTGACGTAAACATGACCTGGTTTGATCGAATTTTAATAGCAGGGCATTCCTTCGCAATTACAATGTTTGAGAAGGATTTGAAGCATAATTATGACAAATTAATTAGTTTGAATATGTTTTTGGTCCATATATACCATTAAACCACCCAGTTTGAGCGCGGGAACCCATCTTTAACTAAGATATTCAAATTTTATGTAGATAAGGCTGTATTAAATTGCTTTGAATATATTATCTACAATTTATTTTGTTTACCTCATCCAGGACCATTAAACCTTTTGTTGCACATAATTTAAGTTTTACTTAGTTACCAAGCCTAGCGATTCTGAGTAAAATGTTCTGTCAGATGTGTAATGTTCAACAATTAAAATGAATGTCAATCTTAAAACACAGATCCTATTTCGTTTCGTTTTTTATAAATTTATAAATTTCGTTTTACTTGTCTTTACTACACTAGGAGCAGGAAGAGTTGTCATCATTGACATGTTCTGGATGATGTGAGGGATTAGCCAATGAAACAGTCTGATGTGGTGCACGGAACTGTGGGTAATCCACTAGAAACATCAATGCCGATTGGTTAATCAAATGTCTGATGTCAAGGGTCAAAAGCCGCTCGTATGACCTCTGACGTGACCTATCACTACAAGCGGTCAGATCTTCATTTAGTGTAGGCCATCGAAAGTAAAAAAAAAAACGAAACAAGATATAGATCTGTATTTTAATTAGATTGATTGAATGTATGATATACAATGTTAAAGTAGCTAAGTCTCTAACTCAATATCATCCAAAATCTTCAATGTTGAAAACACGATTTATTTGTCAAATTAAATCAACATTCATGTTGTGATCTTACCGGAAAAAGATGGGCTTTTGATATCCAATATTTAAGACAAAATAAACATTTTACCATTGGTGCACGAATCGTGTACCATAATGCGCTTCAGCCCCAGTTGTATCAAGAGACTTGAGTGACGAGGCTAGACACATTGCACCAAATCAAACGCCGTATGTAGACCGGAATAACCAGAAGCTAGAAATTTGCACTCGGTTGAGACTGCTGGCTTATTTCGTCGAACATAACTGATTTTGAAATTGGAGTAAAAACGGAAACCATTGAATGTAAATCAGTTTATATACATTCATATTACAGTATTATATATGCGTTGCGACCCACTTTTGTCAATTACTAGGTCACAAATGTTAGCGATTTAGCTCCTTTAATATAAAGGTTTCTATATTGTAATATTTTGTTTTTGTTGATATTTCAGATGCACTGATTAACAGAAGATATATTTTTAAAGAAATAATAGTCTAGAACACCATGTCACTTAAAGAAACACAACAGTTTGAAAAGGGGCGTATTAAAGTCCTACAGGATGAGAGAGTCTACATTCAGAAAAAGACGTTTACAAAATGGGCCAATGCCTTCCTGGAAAAGGTAAATATAATTTATAATACATAGGTTTGCTGAAATACTTTATTGTTAAATAGGGCTTCCATGTATGCTAATGATAGGCAATTATAGATTCCTTGTTCGAAGTTCCTTATTTTAAAAAAAACAAAAAAAATTCCAAACAAACTATTAAAATAGAGGAAGATAAAAGATGGCATGCATTGTCATTACTTGCAGCATCAGCTGGGTTAGACAAACTATATGCACTCTTTCCAGTCCTTTCTAACCAGGTTTTGATGAAATCTATAACAAGGACTATCTGATGCTAATTATTGGCTGTCATCAAGGCATTACTGATTACTGGAAGCAAGCATTTAACTAGATATTTGATACCATTTCCCCTTATTGTGCTTACAAGAATTTCAAGGTTGTGAGATTATGAAAGAAAGTCTGATTTTGATAATGGGCTATATCAATGTGTTTTATCTAATGATGGTTGTGTGTTGACAACATTCTGATTAATTTGACAGTAGAGATCTTTCTTATTAGGACTGTTTTGTATATTTGAACCAAGTATCTCATTCTTAAAAACAAAATAAATGCAAGGTTTCGAGCAGTGGTTGCATTTATACAGTAACATATAGGCAGTTTACCAATGCCGCCAGGAGTCATAGATTTAAGAATGTCATGACCCAAGTTTGTACAGGGAATACCATCTCTGATCCAATCTCCCTCTTCAAAAAAATGAACCTGACAAATTATGTCATTAATCTTTCTATTTTAACATTCTTGTTCCTTAATTTTTCACTGGAGGCACAGTTGTTGTCATACTTTGTTTTGTTTCTTTTCTTTCTTCAATGAATTATTGTTGTGTTTTCCGATAAATTAACATTTTATTTGTTATCAATGGGTTCAAACCCGTCTAGATATACTATAATGAAGTGAGGTGGGGGAACTGGGCTGTGCTATAACTGTTTTTCTCCAACCAGATTTTTTTATAACTAAGTTGAAGGCTGACACATAGCTTCTAGAAATGATAAATGATACAAAATATACAGTTTCATGTCCTCCATAACAATTATATTATATGCTTGGTTGAATACTTGAACATAATAAACTTCTAATGTTACATGAAATATACCTCATATTTATATAACCAAATACGATTCATTCTTTTCGGTTTAATTTATGTCTATATAAGGACATACTCATTGTTATTCCACTTCAGTTCCTCACAAATTTCATAAAAAAAATGGGTTTAAAATTTCATGATAAAATGGCTTTATTAGTCTTAGATAACCTAAATAACTTAAAGATGGGTTCCCAGAAAAGTATTTATCGGGTGGTTATTTCCAATAAAAGTATGGTAATTTTGGTATATATGGAAAGTAGAGATATCCAATCTTACTAGAAAAATACTGGATTCCCCGAAAAACACTCATGGAGCGTATACAGAACAAAAATGTAAGGGTTCCCCTAATCAACAGCTCGACGATTAGGAATTTCTGCACGTGTGATGTCAAAGGTCACACGCGAACATTGAGCGCTTGATGTGCAAGTTGCTAAACTTTATGAAGAGTTAGACGTACAACACTTTCTGAGATAAACATGACGGAAAAAGACGCGGGTAGTGGATAATCCGAGAATTTAATTAGGATTCGATATTTGTAATAAATAGTAAGCGATTAAAGACAACATCGTCTTATGTATGCAATGAATTCTCCTCTGACTTCAAAGAGAGGTAAGTCACGTGACGTAAACATGACCTGGTTTGATCGAATTTTTATAGCAGGACATTCCTTCGCAATTACAATGTTTGAGAAGGATTTGAAGCAAAATTATGACAAATTAATTAGTTTGAATATGTTTTTAGTCCATATATACCATTAAATCACCCAGTTTGTACGCGGGAACCCATCTTTAATATATTGAGGTAATATTTCTTGATATAGACTTCTGTTAAAACAAGAAAAGAATGTATCATGATATTAATGATACCTATTGTATCATGTATGTTTTAATAATGACCATTTTGGACTGAATATTGTCATGCAATTTAAAGGACAATGCAATATGGTAGAAATATGGTAGAAATTCAAAATTACACAAAAACTTGTATACATGTATATAATAATAAAGAAGTAAAAGTTGTCTGTGTAAAATGAGATAATTTATTAAACATAAAATAGACTTGTATTGTTGTTGCTCTACACCCAATAATAATTAGCTTAATGTTTCTGCTGGTTACATTTAAAGGCGATTGTTTTAAAGATACATTAGTTAAAGAGTTTCATAAAGGGTAGGCCATTCTTACTATAACAATTTAAAAATAGATGATACAAAAAAGGAAAATATTGAAAATTTCAGTCAAATTACATTATTCTGAACAAAGTTATTACTGTTGGAAGTTTGGATTAGAAATAGGTATCAACTGTCTCAGGGAATTGCTGATCGTTTGATTGACAGACGATAACTCCATCCACATATTCTCAATGGCTACAGTACCCTTGATTGTCAGTCCTTTACCGGCAGTATCTGGGAGTGACGTCAGTGATTAATGGTAAATGTTAGCTTGGTCAGCCATTTATTGATTTAATTATTAAATAGAAGACTGTTTAAATCCAGGCTATATCCATGCCATCCGAGGGTCTACAGAGTAGATTTTATACTTGTCATGTAAATAAAGGTCTAATTAATAATTTCTATAACATTTGAAGCCTTTAGAAAGATTTGCAATAGGGAGATTTAGCTCTTAACTAATGTATCTTTAAAAAGAATGTCTGATTAGCTTTAACATTTAGACATAACAGGGTAATTGAAAAAAGTCACGTTTGTCCATCCATTAATCTTTACTACTAAACAAACACAATTAATTAGAAGCCACTGTAACTATTAGCTAAGCTTCTATATATAAAAAAAAGCAACACTACCTGTAATTTTGTTTCAAAATTAGATTATTTTTATTAATTTTCAATCCATGACTTTAGAAAAAAAATCAGTTTAAGCTCCTATGACTGCGTTGACAGGTGTGGTAGTTTGTTTATTTAACCAATCAGTGTTAAGATGAGATAAATCTATTAGCCATCATCTTTAGATGTGGTTTGTATATATTATTATTTATATATCACTCAACATGAACATGTCCTTCTGTTTACAATCAGAGTGGAAGTCTAGGAATTTAGAAAGTAGGATCTGAAAAAAGAAATTTTCATCTAATAGCCTGTTTAAAATCTTAAACATACATTATGCAAGAGCTAAATCTGGCAATAATGTGCAGTAGTGCAGTAAACACAACACAAAGTGGGTTTCAAAACACAAAGTGGTCTGGCATAATACCGATATAGTCTGAGGGTTGTGTACCATTTTTAATAATATTATAAATAATCTAGTTATATTATTGGTTAGAATAAAAACACAGATAATATTTATTTAATTAAATAAATTTGGTAACAAGTGGCTTCTTTGTTTAACTTTTTAAAAAATGAAATAACCATATTTTGATATAAATTTTCCGTATTCTTGTGTTACAATACAATGGAAAAATTCCTCTTAGACGAAATTTGATTCGCTTGTTGAGTTATAGATGGTTTCGACAATATCATCGAACGTGAAAGTGCTAGGATTTTTAAACCAGTTTAATTTTGTCTTTTAAACACTAATGTGGAGCAAGGGTCTTTGCTGTGGGAGGAAACTGGAGTACCAGGAGTAAACCCACGAGATTGAGAAGGCGCCCCTATCTCCAAGCCACATGCTCACACCAGGCATCGAAATCACAACAGCAAGCCAGAGGTGATCGGCCAGCTAGAGGTCGAAACATGGCAGTTTAGAGCACTAGGCCATCCCAACCCTCCTCCCCCCCCCCCCCCCCTATCCATCGTTGAGAAAGGACATACAGTTTTATTTATTTTATTTCAACTTGCGGTGACATTTATTCATCCAGTAAATGCCTGCTAAGACTGGAGAATGTCCACTTAATTCAACGAAGTCTTTTTGGTACTAAATAAACATAACCATAATTCTTAATTTTCCTGGCATGCAAGATTCTTTATCAGTGGGAACCTGGAGAAGGTTTACATGACTAAATTCAGCCTCACATGCTTAAAATTATATAGCCCTGTCTACAAAGAACTGGACAGCCTCAATTATGAAGTGAATATAACATATGGTTGTCGTACTTCTTAACCTTTGTGTTTTGAGTTCATTTCAGTGAAAATTCTAATTCGTGATCTTAAAATCAAAATTCCTTTTCCACCAATATAAACATTAATAGAATGTGATATGCTACTCTCTTTACATACTTTCATACAGTAGTTAATTGACTTGCTCGTAAGAGTTACCAAAACAGGGGGGTAGGTGGCTGTAGGGTATAATGCATGCGCTCTAAATCATAAGGTCTGCCATTGAATCAAGCGGCAAGGTTTCATTCCTGCACTTGAAGGTAACAACTGCCTAACCTTGTGGGTTGCCTGGTCTCCTCCCACTGCTAAAGACCTCTACATGCAATTGAATTATTGTAGTAAAATTGTACCATGTGTTAGTCTCAAAATGACCTAGTTTGTGTCAGTGGACATTACCTCCCTCGCTCTCTCTTTCTCTCTCTCTCAATTACCCAAACAACTACGAAAAGAAACCAGAGTTTGTCAACCAAGAAACTTGTAGAATACAGGGGTGTAAAGATGTGTGATTATCTTTATTTGTCTTTTCAATTTAAACTGTGAATCTAGCCAACAATTGGAAAGAAGAGTAGATTTCGAAGGTATTTAACAAATTACGCAACATGTCTTAAATAAACTTTACAATGACAAGCTTTTGTTTTACAGTTTGTTTTGAGATATAACAATAAGTGGTAAAATAAGTTAATCACTCTTGGTTTAAGAACTAGGCAGGTAGGATTTCAAGTGACTGATTGACATCATCAGTTGTATGGTCAAGTAAATTTCATCTTTAAGTATTATACATTGACAAAATGATATTTAAAGATACATTATGGGAGATTCGATAACGAGTTGGCAGTTCTCACTATAATAGTTAAAAACTAGATAATGTAAAGGTAATTTGCTGAAAATTTCATTTAAATTGATCCACTATGAACCGAGAACTAAGCGATCGAAATATCTACCTACATGTAGCCTTGATCATCATTACTAAAGTCAGTATGATAAACAGCATAGTCTCGATTATCCATTTAATCGTTAAATCGTGAAGGAAAGTTATGCAGTAAATCGGCTCACAATCCACTAAAGATCGCAGTCTAGTGATGCCATCTAGAGTTGATTATGGTCTGGCAACGTTAATTAATGTCTAATTAATAATTTAGATAACATTTCAGGCCTAAAGAAAGACATGCAATAGACTGATTTAGCTCTTGCATAATGTATGTTTAAAGTACTGATGGACCATTTTAAACAATAGGAATCACTTGCAAACTACAATATTGTGAAAAATGAATCTCTAATACGAATAATAGTTAAATTCAGTTCAATATTTATGATATATGTGGTATTGAAATTTCATCAATCTAGGCTGCTTGCTATGCAAAAAGCCTGCCGCCATTTTATGTGTCCACGAAAATTTAATGATAGGCGTGTTTTAAATCTGATTGAATCCAAGTTGAGACATTATTTAATTTTGGTATTTTGATTCTGCTTTCTCAATTAAATGTTAAATAATCAATCTGAGTTCATATTAATTAAATGATAAATAATCAATCTGAGTACATAATGTATTAATTTAATGTTAAAGTAGCTAAGTCTCTAATTCAGTATCATCAAAAATCTTCGACATTGAAAACACAAATTATTTGTCAATTCAAATCAACATTGGTCTTGTGATCTTACAGGGAAAAGATGGGCTTCTGATATCCAATATTCAAGACAAATTAAACATTTTACCATTGGTACACGAATCGTGTACCATAATGCGTTTCAGCGCAATTTGGAACAAGAGACTCAAAGAACGCAGCTAGACATATTCCACAAGTCATGTCAAATTAATGGTGACGCTATATTCTTATCTGGAGAACATGCGCAATAAATATCATCGGTGTAGACCGGAATAACCAGACGCTAAAGATTGCCATTCAATTAAGACTTCTGGCATATTTTGCCGAATATAACTGATAAGAAATTACAGTAAAAACAGAAACGGTTGAATGTAAATCAGTTTATATACATTTACATTACATTATTATATGCGTTGCGACCCATTTGTGTCAATTTCTAGGTCCCAAATATTAGCGATTTAGCACCTTTAAATAATCAATCTGAGTACATATTAATTAAATGTTAAATAATCAATCTGAGTATATATTAGCGTGAATTAAGTTGAGAATCTTTTTTAGCAACAGATGGCCCGGCATTGTTACTTTAAACAAAGGATACTACTATAACATCAACTTCGGCAGTATCTAGAGCTGGAAAATAATTTTATGCAATAATGAAAATTTTAGATATTGTTATCTGTATTATTAGCAAATGATGCCATTTAAATGACGAGTTTGGCAGCAGGTGACATAATTGTCATTGGTTTATAATTATGTAATCTACATGTACATGTAGATGCAGATAAGTCATTTTGACTGTTAATTAGATTGTTTTCACATTGGGTTAATTGGGTAGTCAGCTTACATGTATAAGAAAAATATTCTCAATGATGGGTATTTTGGATAAATTGTATTATCATATCGTGAACTATTTTGATCTGCACCATTCTGAATGCAAACAAAATTACTGGTATTTGAAACTGGTCTGGATTAGGCTTGCTTGGGACACATTATTTGACACTAACATATACAGCATAATAAATAAAATCATAAATTACCTGTTCTATATATAAAAAAACTGGAGGTGGCCCAGTCAGCAACCCTCTTAATCTGGCCCTCATTTGAAATGATTTTAAAAACTGTTCATATATATCACTGTTACACCATTGATTTCAAATTTTGTGAAAATCGGACAGAACTTACCATTAAATGGCTGCATACCATTACTCAAATAGTGTAAAAGCATGTAATACAATCTTTGTCCAATTTGGATGAAACTTCAAATATATATTGGGGATCAAAAGATCTTGGAGGAGTTTGATTTTGGTGCGCATCAAAATTCTTTATGAAGGATTGGGACAATGAGAGGATGAGCCCTATTGATTTTCCCTGTTCCCCCATCCATTTCTAGCAAAATGTGGGTGTATTGCATCCATATTACATTTTGTATGATCAATAGTAGAGTATTTTTTTCTTACCAACTCTACTGTATTTTTTTATTACCATCCATACCATATTTTGAATGATCGGTAGTACTGTATTTTATAAATAACTTTAGATACTTGACATTCAATCACCGTTTTATCTGCTATTTTTGTAGACTTTGAAAATACACAAACACCAACGCAAAGATAACCTCAGGAAATCTGTTTGTTAATTTGGGTGACTCGACTTGTTGATCTTATTTGCGAGAAAATCCTTTGATAAGCTCAGTGAATGATGGTACACTTTTTCTCTTCTATCTGTGTCAATATCCTCGATTTAATTTAAAGTCTTATATGGGTGGCAATTAGAATTTTATTCACCGCAGGTTCAAACATCTCCACCGACAGTTGGGTGCAAGAACTTTAGTATGTAGGTCAAGTCTGACTTAATTCAACTTGACAGAAAAAAACTTTCTACGTTTTTATTTTACACATGTAGAGTATTATATACCTGTGATTGATAAAAATTGTCCTTACATTGTTTCGATGTGTTCTTGTTGAAAATATCTGACTAAACCTACCATTTCCTTTGAAGGGGAGCCACAGTGACTTAGTGGGTAAGATGCTGCTCACTAAAAGGGGAGCCACGGTGGCTTAGTGGGTGAGACGCTGGTCTTGAGGTCGCGTGTTCCATCTCTGCATTGGCCGAAAAAGTTCATCAGGATTTTCTGGCGTGGTTTCCCCCTATCGATGGTCCAGGATAGGGCCTGACATGGACAGCTGTCTAGTCATTCGGATGGGCCAAAAAACCAAAGACCTGTTTATACATTGGTGTGCACGTAATAGATCCCTTTGCAGTTGGAATTCAATATAAGAGTGGACCATAGTGCCACTGCCCGGGCAAAATTTCCCTCATAGCACACTGTATGGCATATGCCCGTCTTCATTAGCCAAGTTGGAGCAGAACAGTCGGACGTTAAACCACATTCCATTTCATTTCCTTTCTAGAAGTTTATTGCTTTGAAAGAAAAACATTCCATTAATTTCCTGTGAGATTGAATTATGGAATCAATTGGGATTATAATGGATTATATCTAACTTGTGAAAATGATAATTGTCCCATCCTTTATTTACATATCGGCAAAACTAAGCCTTATGGTGGTGATTGGGGGAAAGTGACGGTTTCGCCTCCACTTTTTGCAAGGAACACCCAAATGACATTGCAGTTCAAGATTCATTCTCCATTTATAATTTACAATCCTAGCTTTGCGAAAGATCGTTGTCTAAATCATATAGGTCACTAAAATAAACTGGAAATGATGATATAGATTAACACTTCAACCAAGTTATTTGAAGAGATTTGAAATGCCCCACAACCTTTCTATTATGTGAATCACTATGCACTATATATATCCTACTCCACCCTTTGTCTCTATGTTATGTCCCTTTGATCTGTTCAACATGTTTTTTTTTATTAGATCTCAGAGTTGTACTTGTACATCAGCTACACAGTCTCCCTAACATGAGGATATAAATGTACTTTATGTGACATAGGTTTTAACCTCAGTCAGTTAGTTCAAATATAATTGTTAATTGATTGGCTGTTAATATGATGTTCATTTTTTGTTGACTTGAAAGCTTAAGTATGTTCAGCCATATACTGTTGTGATAAAAACACTGAAAATGCTAAGACCAACAAAAAACATAAAACGACCCCCCGAATAGACCAAATCAACAACAAAAATAACTTTCAAAACAACCCTGAAAACTGACACCATACATGGTGAAATATGTATTTGATGTCCTTATATGGTAGTTGTGAGAATTGGTGATAATGTTAACTACTATATAGTATTAATAACATATAATTTCATCTGTCTGCTTCTAGCTTAATAATATTAAAACATCATGACAGCAAATAAATAAAATAGTATTAGTTTATTGTTAAATTGGATGTTTAACAAGAATATTCCCTCAAACTTATCCCTCCATAATACTGGAGTGATTGCTACCCTTGATCACTGCTTTTCCATTGTAATACTGCTTATGCAGTCTTTTGGACATTGTATTCAAAAGGTTTATTGAGCAGTTAAGGACATTACGGATGAAATTATTGCAAATTCTAATAACTTTTCTTAACTACTCGGACAACAAAGCAGCTAGTGGGGTTATAATTTGATGCCTGTCAATCTATCTTTGTCTTGTGATTTTCTGTAAGTTGCAAGGATTATGATACAGATTTGATTAACCTGTTAGAACAACTTTGAAACTTTTAATCACAAAATTTTTCAGAATGAATGCGATTAGTGTTGAACAGGTTCAATTAAATCGCAATACAAGCATCCATGATAGATTTAATCAGAATGATTGCGATTAGTAATAAAGAGGTTAAATTAAATCGTGATGCAAATGTCTGTGATGAATTTATCAGAATGATTGCTACAAGAATCCTTGATAATAATGAATAACTGACTAACATGGTAATGTCTTGATGTATTCAAGGGGCAGCCAACAGGATTCAAAGTATTGAAGATATTTACAATAATTGTTTATGTATATTTCAGGCCCGAATGGAGATCAAAGATTTATTCACAGATTTAAGCGATGGTAAAATGCTGATGAAACTTTTAGAAATAATCTCGGGTGAAAATCTTGGTAAACCAAATAAAGGTGTACTCCGAGTCCAGAAAGTAGAAAACCTCAACAGATGTTTGAAATTTCTGGCTACAAAGGTATAAATTTTTACATTGGAAAAGCATTACCGATAACTTGACTTTATCTTTTTTGTTACTGATTGTGAATCTTTAAAACACGAATGGAAATGTTGTATCGTCTGGTTTAACCACGCCAGTTCTTGTTCTATACATCTTGACCCAGTAAACACTTACACTTAACACACCCGTCATATTGGGGGTGGGGGTCAGCGTAGCAGGGACAAAATGGGCCTTGGGTAGATGTCCATGAGACAATTTTTACGCTAATGATGGCCCTGATTTTGAAATGATGATAATCACAACCAAAACTCAAAATCTAAAATTTGCATGTTCTTAACTGATCATGTAAAGCAAAACATATGAACATTCAATATATCTTGATAATTCTTCGCTGCGTAATTATTAAAATTAACATTTTTTGCTTATTGGCTAATCCCAATAAGCCGAATGGCGTTTTGGGTTCTGTAGGCTGGTGATCATGTCTGCAATTTGGGGCATGTAGAAATATAGCCATATGGTATCTATTTTGCACATTCAAAACAATGAGAAGACTTGTCTCTTATTTTGTTAATACCAGAGAAAAATGTCAGTATTTAACCTATGCTTGATGTTATGTTTATCTGTATTTGTAGGTATATTTTGAAAACATTGGAGCTGAAGATATTTTGGATGGAAATCAACGATTAATCCTGGGGTTAATATGGACCATTATTTTACGTTTCCAAATTCAAGAAATTGTATTAGAAGTAAGTAACATGATTTAATCTTAATGAAAATCTAAAATCATCCCTATAATATTAAGTCATATAAATTTTCAATGAACAAATAAAGAGTGGAGATTCAGACAACACATCTAGCATAGCTATTAAACTATACTATTCAAAAAAAGTAGGGGATATTTGATTTTGGGGGCATAATACTAAAATATGCAAATGACTACGAAAAAAGTCACTATAGAACCTAACAGAAGAAACATTTCCAGTTACATGTGACGCCCAAACGCACCAATAGCTACCGCATGGAATGCAGGTGATGCTTGGGATCATCATGGGGGTCCAACCCAAGATTTGCACGACTCTGACTTTGAATGTTACAGTCATTGTGGCATTGAATTCCAGGGTGGAAACATCAGTTTAATTGTTTTAGTGACCAGAAAACAAATTTTGATATGCGTCGGCTTACCCAAAATGAAAGGTTACGTGCCCTTGGCATGCTACAGATCGGCACAACACAGGCGGTTGTGGCGCAGACGATGAATGTTTCTCAGTCTGTCATAAGCAGGCTATGGTCCAGATACCGTGATACACAATCTGTACAGGACAGACCACGCTCAGGTCGACCAAGGGCGACAACTCAAGCCCAGGATCGATTTATCCGTACCTTGGCCTTGAGAAATCGTGTCATCACAGCAAATCAGATCAGCGCTCGTCTTCAAACAGACACTGGTGTGAGAGTGAGTGGCCAGACGATTCGGAATCGACTGCATAGGGGTCACCTTCGCGCCCGACGTCCTCGCGTGATCCCTTGTTTGAGAGATCATCACATTCAGGCAAGACGTCGTTGGTGTAGGGATCGTCAACACTGGGATAATCGACGCTGGAGCAATGTGATGTTTTCAGATGAGTCAAGGTTCACTGTTGATTTTTTGGACAGACGTAGGAGGGTGTGGCGTCGTCGAAACGAGCGCTTCCAAGACGTTAACGTCATCAGACATGATCGATTTGGGGGTGGTTCTGTTATGGTGTGGGGAGGCATCACTGTTGCTGGAAGAACGGCTTTACATGTTGTTGCAGGGCGTGTTACAGGCCAGTACTACCGGGACAACATCTTGGCAGTCCATGTTGTGCCGTTCGCACGACGTCATGGCCGCCGTTTCATCTTCCAGGATGACAACGCAAGATGTCACAGGGCCAGGATCGTTACAGGTTACCTCCAACAACAGAACATCACCACATTACCTTGGCCAGCACTGAGTCCCGACCTCTCCCCCATCGAGCATGTCTGGGACATGCTTGGACAGAGGTTACGTCAACGTCAACAACGTCCTGCCAATGTCCAAGAACTTGCTGCTGCGTTGCAACAGGAATGGGACAATCTGGACCAAAATGACCTTAGACGTCTCATTAGGAGTATGCCACGTCGGATCAATGCTTGTTTGGCAAACAGAGGAGGATTTACCCGTTACTGACTTGGTTGTGATGCTGTGGTAACTTTGCTGTTTGACCCCGGGTATCATTTTACCCTTATAATGGTCAGTCTGTGCCTTACTTAGTCTAACGATCATTTGGAATAAATCGATGAATGTGAACTTCATTTCATTTTGTCATTTGTTTCTTCGTCAGTTTCATTAGGTGACTTTAATAACACTTAAAAATCAAATATCCCCTACTTTTTTTGAATAGTATATAATTCTGACTGACTGTGCAATTGAATGCTGTTAAGGTTTATCAACCTCTTTTACATCAGGGCCCTTATTCACGAAAACTTAAACTAAGATACAATCGAAATTTTAAGAAATACTGCAATTTGATTGGCTGACCAGTAAAATCAATTTGCATATATCCAATGAAGTTGCAGTATTTCTTAAAATTTTGGTTGTAACTTAGTTTAAGTTTTCGTGAATAAGGGCCCTGACTTGCATAATATTTTGATCACAGTCCAATTCTGGTTCAGATTAGAATATTTTAGTTTGATTAGAAAGCTTTTTTTTTTAAGGAAAATTAATTAATAACACATTTGATTTGTTCATTTAAAGGATGATGAGGATAAAGGAGAGAAAAGATCTGCCAAAGATGCACTGCTACTATGGTGTCAAAGAAAAACAGAAGGGTGGGTAGTTTATACAGAGTTATTTCCCCTCTGCTTAAAACCCCTTTGACAATTTATTTAATAATTTTTAGAAATAATCAGTATTCTTTTGGTTATGTTTACACTCTTTATTTAAAAAAAAGCTTATTTAACTGTTGCAGTTTGTTAAAAACATGACAGCACACATTGTGCAGCCCACAGAATATATAGATGTCTTATCATATTTTATCAAAACCAGGATATTTGATCGATTTTCTTTTACCTTTTATAATATTTCTGACTGAAATCTGGAATGGAAGACTGGGTCCCATTAAAGAAAATTTATAACTTAGTTGTATAGATGTTTGTTATCAAATGAACTGAATAAATAGATTTTCTTGTCTCTTTCAGGTACCCTGGTGTTAAAATTACAAACTTTACAACAAGTTGGAGAAATGGATTAGGATTTAATGCTCTAATCCATGCTCACAGGTAAGCTTACATTGTAAATTTTAGGCTACTTCAATGTATACACATTATTGATGATTTGTGTTGATGGTTTTCTGTATCACTAAAGTTTAAGATCTCATGTGCACATTAGGTCTGTCAAAGAGAATAAGTGTGCGAGTCCTACTTCTGTTTATTCTTTCAGAATTAAAAAAAAAACAAAAACATAAATATATCCAAACTATTTTATTAAAATCACTATTTTCCTTTTAAACCAGTATTCACAATACAGTGCAATTCGCTTGACTTGATCACAATGTATTGCAATACAAGATTTCGACCTTGCAATAAACAGCCCTAGTGAACATGGTATGCACTTGGTGCGAAATTTCGGATTATGGTGTTTTATCAAGAGTAATCCTTGATGACCCTTGACCCCTGACTTTAACTATCAATTGGACAACCTGCTATAATCAGAGCATACACTCAATATTTATTTACTATGAATGATAATTGAGAGTTATTTGATTTCTATTTTCCAGACCAGATGTAATAGATTATGAAAAATTAGAACCAGCAGATCATATTGGTAATCTGAATAATGCCTTTAATGTAGCAGACAGTCAGTTGGGTATACCCAGAATCCTTGATGCAGAAGGTATGTAGCATTCGTCAAATTTATACAAGATCTTTATTTGGGAAGTTATTTCATTACATTTTATTTGAGAATAAAAGGAAGCCTGTTCAGATTATTATGTCTTTCTTACTTCATTTGGATCACAGTTCGGAGCAGAACAGTAGGACGTTAAACCCCATTTCATTTCATTTGAATCATAGAAATTTGAGATCTAATAAAAGTTCTTGTTTTCAATTCTTTATTTTCTTTAAGTGTACTGACTCATCAAATAACACACATGCACATTACAATTACATACAAATCCCCGGTTGTACGTGACAAGGAGTAGGGTCGCCTGTCCAACCTCGTGGGTTTTCTCTGGGTCCTCCGGTTTCCTCCCACTGCTAAAAACCCCTACGCGCAAGTGAATTATTGAAATAAAATTAAAACCATATGTTAGTCCCGAAATGACCTAGTTTGTGTCAAGTGGACGTTAAATCCCATTTCTCTCTCTCTCTCAATTACATACAAACATATACATGACAAGTAAACACAAAACAAACACACAAAACAAGTATGGGGGGTAGGGTGATAAAATAAATTCAGTTAAATTAATAGTCAAGGTTACTAGAGAGTAAATAATTGTAATTATGATTATTTTAATATAGATAATTGATTTAATTTGTGGTGGTTTTTTTTTTTCCAGACGTAGATGTAAATCGACCTGATGAAAAAGTTATATTAACATATGTAGCTTCTTATTATCATTATTTTGCTAAAATGAAGAGTGAAATGACCGGAGGTAAACGAATTGCAAAGGTGAGGAAATTTATCTTCAAGTTACATTTAAGACATTGTACATCCATGGGAAATAAGACTTCACAAGAATTTAAGAATATATACTATTCAAAAAAAGTAGGGGATATTTGATTTTTAAGTGTTATTAAAGTCACCTAATGAAACTGACGAAGAAACAAATGACAAAATGAAATGAAGTTCACATTCATCGATTTATTCCAAATGATCGTTAGACTAAGTAAGGCACAGACTGACCATTATAAGGGTAAAATGATACCCGGGGTCAAACAGCAAAGTTACCACAGCATCACAACCAAGTCAGTAACGGGTAAATCCTCCTCTGTTTGCCAAACAAGCATTGATCCGACGTGGCATACTCCTAATGAGACGTCTAAGGTCATTTTGGTCCAGATTGTCCCATTCCTGTTGCAACGCAGCAGCAAGTTCTTGGACATTGGCAGGACGTTGTTGACGTTGACGTAACCTCTGTCCAAGCATGTCCCAGACATGCTCGATGGGGGAGAGGTCGGGACTCAGTGCTGCCCAAGGTAATGTGGTGATGTTCTGTTGTTGGAGGTAACCTGTAACGATCCTGGCCCTCTGACATCTTGCGTTGTCATCCTGGAAGATGAAACGGCGGCCATGACGTCGTGCGAACGGCACAACATGGACTGCCAAGATGTTGTCCCGGTAGTACTGGCCTGTAACACGCCCTGCAACAACATGTAAAGCCGTTCTTCCAGCAACAGTGATGCCTCCCCACACCATAACAGAACCACCCCCAAATCGATCATGTCTGATGACGTTAACGTCTTGGAAGCGCTCGTTTCGACGACGCCACACCCTCCTACGTCTGTCCAAAAAATCAACAGTGAACCTTGACTCATCTGAAAAATCACATTGCTCCAGCGTCGATTATCCCAGTGTTGACGATCCCGAATCGTCTGGCCACTCACTCTCACACCAGTGTCTGTTTGAAGACGAGCGCTGATCTGATTTGCTGTGATGACACGATTTCTCAAGGCCAAGGTACGGATAAATCGATCCTGGGCTTGAGTTGTCGCCCTTGGTCGACCTGAGCGTGGTCTGTCCTGTACAGATTGTGTATCACGGTATCTGGACCATAGCCTGCTTATGACAGACTGAGAAACATTCATCGTCCGCGCCACAACCGCCTGTGTTGTGCCGATCTGTAGCATGCCAAGGGCACGTAACCTTTCATTTTGGGTAAGCCGACGCATATCAAAATTTGTTTTCTGGTCACTAAAACAATTAAACTGATGTTTCCACCCTGGAATTCAATGCCACAATGACTGTAACATTCAAAGTCAGAGTCGTGCAAATCTTGGGTTGGACCCCCATGATGATCCCAAGCATCACCTGCATTCCATGCGGTAGCTATTGGTGCGTTTGGGCATCACATGTAACTGGAAATGTTTCTTCTGTTAGGTTCTATAGTGACTTTTTTCGTAGTCATTTGCATATTTTAGTATTATGCCCCCAAAATCAAATATCCCCTACTTTTTTTGAATAGTATATTAAAGACACATTATTCTAGACTAAAAGCACATACAGACTTCCAGTCCTTACACTTTAAGTTTAGACTTATCTGGGCCCAAAATTATTCAGATTGATCAACCAAACGTAAGTTATGTCCATCTGAACCCCATTTATCTCTCTTTATTGGATATCAATTTTTTAAATTTGTTTTCTTTTTCATTTGTTGTAGGTTCTAGGCAATATGGTGGAGGTAGACAAGATGCAACAGGAATATGAAAATCTTATGTCCAACTTATTAGAATGGATACAGCAAAAAATTAATAGTTTAAATAATAGAAATTTCCCCAATGCCTTAGAAGGAATTCAGAAAGAACTTCTGATGTTTAAAGAATATATGACAGTGGAAAAACCACCCAAGTATGTACAATCGTTAAATTTGAATTTGGATATCTAATTTGATGGTTGAGTTGATTGAATTGTTATTAGTATCAAAATTTATAATTCTGAATAAATCTTTGTTTGAAGAAGTTGTCTTTGAAAGGCATCTGATTACTGATTAGTTTTGACTTAGATGTAAAGTAAAGGGTAGAAATTTTTAAGTTTGGTTTTTGTTTTTTTTTTTAAAATAGTATCGTTTAAAAAGTAACATTATTTTAACTTGTTGTTGATTTCAGATATCGAGAGAGAGGAAATATAGAAGCTCAGTATTTTAATATTCAAGCCAGATTAAAAGCCAATGGACAAAAACTTTACATTCCTAAAGAAGGTCATTTAATACATGATATAGAAACAGCATGGCTTCATTTAGAAAAATGTGAACATGGCAGAGAAGTAGCATTGAGAGATGAACTAATCAGGTCGGGACTCATTTGGATAATACACAAAGTTTTAACACTGAATACATACATTGTTTAATTTTTCGTGTTCACTTCATGAACTGAGATTCAAAGCAGTGTGCTTTGTAATGTTAGACTATGGTTGTTATGAGTTATCCCCCCTTAATGCACAGACTTGTCATTGTCTCACCCAAATATTGTTTGGTGAATTTTTTAGACAAAAAAAAAAGATATTAGTTTGTAAGAAGTATAGAATGAACTAGAATTGTTGTAGGGAACAGGAAGTTGGACCCCCCACCTCCCCCTCCCCCTCCCCAAAGCAACCCCCCCCCCCCTTTACAAAACTGAAGGCAAACTACATTCTTTTTACAAGACATTTAAACATACCTTGAGTGACTTTGTTACAAGGTTTTTGTTATTTTTTCAGACAAGAACGTCTAGAACAATTAGCACGAAGATTCGCCCGCAAGGTAAGAGTGTATTTGAATCTATTTGTAGTATCTTGTAGGCTTGGCCTATGTTGACCCCTCTCTATTTAATGCTGTTAACTATTAATTCCTTTTCAGACAGTTTTGATTCCAATTATATAAAGATGTTATTACTGCTTTTTCATTTGTGTTTGTTGATTAAAGAAATCAGCCATGTTGCTGTTATTTATTGAAAGCTTGAATTCAGTTGCATCAAACATTATAGTGTACATTACGTAATCTTTTCAGGCTGGTATTCGTGAAGCATGGTTAAAAGATATGGAACAGATTCTAGATGAAGAAATTATCTGTAGTAATGCAGTGCAAACTGAGGCAGCTGTTAAAAAACACGAAGCTATCAGTGCTGAAATTCTAGCACGGGTGAGGTCTTCATTAAAATCTTCTGTCTTGTCTTGAATATCCTAAAAATAAAAGTGATTTCTTGCTCTTGAGTCATTCAGCAGAATTTAACCCTTTGAACTTGAGCATCCAGATTCCTGTAAAACGGCTGTGACTATGTTTTTTTATGTCCAGACAAAAGCTGTTAGTATGACATTCGCTTCTTTACGTCCAGAGTTCAGATATCTAGGTCCCTGGAATCTGATATTAAGGAGGCTGCAAGATTGATTTTGAATTGTTTGCTTCTATGTAATTAAATTGTATAATGTTTTATTGATCTTATTCTCATAATTATATTTTTTGTTCGTTTTATAGAAAGATCGTTTCCGAGCTTTAAACAATTTAGCCAGTGAATTAGTTCAGGGAAATTATCATAATAAAGACAGTGTCCAAAAGAAGTAAGTATATTTTCTGTTGTAATTAACCATATTTTTCACAAATTTCATATTTGACTTGAACTAGAATTTATTTGCATTATCGTCACTTTTCTTGGATTTGACACAAGGACATTGTCCTAACAATATTGGGAGCCGCGAAGGCTCAGTGAGAAAGATGGCTTGATAAACTGGAGACCCTAGGTGAACTGAGAAAGTTCATTGGGAATTTCTGGCGTGGTTCTCCCATTTGAGTGGTACAGGATTGGATGAAAAACTGAGGTTATCTGTACACATTGCCATGCATGTAAAAGAACCCTTGGCAGTTGTAATTCGATAGAACCTATGTCCGGATAAAATTTCCCCCATAGCACACTGTATGGTGTATGCCCATCATCATTAGCCCAGTCAGAGCAGGACAGTAGGAAGTTAAACCCTGTTTCATTTCCGAACAATATTTACTCTGCTTGACGTGTATGTCTGTGTTTTGTACATTAATGACACTTCTGATTTGTTGGTTTTTTTCTCACAGAGATCAAGAAGTAATGAGAAGATGGCGGGCATTATTGGATACATTAGAAGGTCGCAAGGTCACACTATCAGGTTTTAGTAACTTGATGAGCCATTTCCGTGAAATAGAGAGTATTGAAGAAGAATTGAAAGAAGTTGAGGTGAGTTACTGGCACATGATAGATATTTATATGTCTTGTTTTATCTGTTGGTTTTCCCATGTCAGTATTGCAGGATGAAGGGCCTCACAAGGACAGCTGTCTAGTTGTTTGGATAGGATGGAAAACTGAGGTCCTGTGTACACATTGGCGTGCACATAGAAGATCCCTTGACAGTTGAAATTTGATATAAGAGTAGGTTCTAGCGGCGCTTTCTGGGCAAAATTTCCATCATAGCACACTGTATGGTGTATACTCATCTTCATTAGCCCATTCGAAGCAGAACAGTAGGACCTTAAACCCTATTTAATTTCATCTGTCGGTGAAGATTTGCTTCTCTTGCATTGTATGTTTTTAGAATTTTTGTATGTCTCCGGCTCACTTGATGTAAAATTTGAATTCATGTGGCCCATGAATTGAAATGAGTTGACACCCCTGGTTGAAATGATTTTCTACAGTTTATCTGAGCAATGTCTAGCCATTTAATCTGTGATTATATGCCTGGTATGTTTGTTTATTATAGGGAAAAGTCAAATTAACAGATTATGGTAAACATCTACAAGCAACAGAAGATTATATAGAACAACATTCATTACACGAATCACAGTTACAAGCTCTTGCTAAACGTGTTCGTAACCTAAACAGACGCTCTAAACAATATGGCGACGAAGGTCATCCTGAAGCCAAACCACTGGAAAAAAGACTTAACTCACTAAATGATTCTGTTGAAAGGTAATAGAATCAGTGTTAATTATAAATGATATATAATTAATCTTGTATCCGAACAACCCTGTAGTTGGTGCACTCTTGGAATTAATGATCCAGAATGAAATCAGAAATAAGACAGACCTCATGCTCATCGTATAAATTGCACATTTAACAATAGATTATATAAATTACTATGTTAGTCTGAAAGATGTACAATTTATTAGTTACCCCAATTATATTTATATATACTAATTTAGTTTTATTATCCCCATTATTTTGATAGATAAACTAAATTAGTAAATCCTGTTATATTGATAGATAAACTAAATTTGTTAACCCTGTTATATCGATAGGTAGACCAAATTATACTAAATTAGTTAACCCCATTATATCAATAGACAAACTAAATTAGTTAACATTATTATATTGATAAACTAAATTCTGACTTGCACTTCACCTTAGTACAAGGCAGTGTTGGGAACTTGCCCATATATTCCAGACATGTCGGCTATTTTCCAAAGGTCTGAAAAAGTCCGACCAGGAATATGCCAAGTCCAACTTCAAGATATGGTGAATAATATTCAAAATGAATATACAACCATTGTGGTTCCAAATGGCAGAAGATCGCAGAAACTGCTTATCAATGTCATATTAAGCTTGAATAACAAATCTTAAGCAGAAGAAAAAGCAAACTACGGTGAACCTTAGTTCTCTCGTTCCGATGGATGACATCATGTCCCCAATAACACAAATGTTTTGAAATATCTGTGATTCTACATTTACAAATTTTGATGGAGAATGTTTTTTTTTTTTCAAAGAATTCTCGATTAAAAAAATGACACTGAGAATGTGATTAGCATATTAAATGTATTTTAAATTTTCTATCCAGGGTCAAGAATCTAAGTAAAGTAAGAAAGAATGGGTTAGAGGTAGCTAAATCATATTACCAATTTATGGATGATTCCGAAATGGATGAAAGGTGGGTGACAGAAAAACTTGAAGATGTTCGCTCTAATAATACAGGAAAAGATTTGGATTCTGCATTGAAATTACTGAAAAAACATGAAGTAAGTATTCTGATATATGAGATGAGACGTAACCCCCCTAACCAGTAGAATTCAGACGAATTCCATAGGTGTGATCATGAAATGAAATGATATGGGGTTTAACGTCCTACTGTTCTGCTCCGAACTGGGCTAATGAAGACGGGCATACGCCATACAGTGTGCTATGAGAGAAATTTTATCCGAACAGCGGCACTACGGCCTACTCTTATATCAAATTCCAACTGCCAAGGGATCTTTTACGTGCACACCAATGTGTACACAAGACTTCAGTTTTTCGTCCCGTCCAATCGACTAGACAGCTGTCCTTGTCAGGTCCTGCATCCCTGACAAGGGGGAACCGCGTCGGAAAATCTGAATGAATTTTCTCAGTCAATGCAGGGATCGAACACCCGACGTCCATTCTAGCGAGCCAGCGTCTTACCCACTTAGCCACTGTGATCCCCGTGTGATCCAGGGGTTTATTAATAAGAATGATAGTTCGTCTGACTTATACTGGTTACGGAGGTTATGTCTCATCTTACATCGTCTTTTATATGAACCCCTTGTGTATCGATGAGATCCCAGTACAGATGTCTTCCGATCATTCGTCTCCAGCTATCTCAGACCACACTTTGCGAAAGTTGTCGTCCTCTACTGCTTGTCTGATATATATATTAATGAACTATGAAAAAACTTAATACAGAAATTGTAAATTGGAAAGCTTAATTATATCAAATGGAAAAAGGTATATTTAAAACTACGTTCTGCATTTAGGAAAACCGAGGTTCATGCTATGTTAGCTGTCTCTTGCTATTGTGTGTACTTTCGACCAATCTGTTACTGTGTTACCTATTTATCTTGTATTAGAACTTAGAACTAGAAATGGCTACTCGCTGGAAGAGATGTGAACAGCTCTGTGCTGTTGGTCAAGATTTAGTCAACAGTGGTCACCAGTCCCGCTCTGAGATAGGTCAACGCATCAAAACTATGATGGATAAATGGAAACAACTACAAGAACAGGCTAAATTACGACGAGTTCGTCTTGAAGATGCCATTGAAGCACATCAGGTAAATATCAGTGCTTTATCAGTAGTTACACAAATAATATCGCAACTGAATTACGATTCTATTTTGAATCCTAACAAAAAAACAAAACAAGTTTGGTGATTACATTTTATGGAGAACCTTCCATGCAGAAAATCACCAAGTTACTGTTAATTTCACACCTCCATCTTGATGTGTGTTAGACATGTGAAATAATAATTCTGTCTTTTTCGTACAAAAATTCCTGAGTTCCATTCAATCAATTCAAACATGGCTGTCCATTATCAACATCATATCACTTACTGTCTAAAAGATAGAGGTTAGTCAACATATAACACAAACATTCACAAAATAATCATAAATATGTGTGGCTTCCTGGTCTTCTTGTGCCTTCATCCTCGACTGTTTATTTAAATCTGATCGCAAGTATTCGATAAACACCAATATCGGGCCTATTCTGGAAAAACACAATTCAAATTTAAAACACATAGATTAAAAATAAATACAAAATGAATCAGATATGGCATGGGTATTCAATTTACTAAGTTTGTTTTATAAAACATATTTTAACGTCGTTAAACACACTACAGTGTAGCGGTTTCTTTGATTATCTACAAACTAAACTGGATTACCCAATCCACAATCTTAATCTCCTTGACAGAAAGGTGTTAATTAATTTATAACTAATTGGTGACATTAACAGAATTAATTCTCATAAAAGGTTTAATAAACAAAACATAGAGAAAGTTAATGGACTATTTATTCTAGTTCTAATTTATAAACCTGTGATTGGAAATTATATGCTAGAGGAAATGTGAATATGCCACATGTGATAGAGGGTTGTTAATGTTTACAAATTGTACAAATTGTACAAAAGCCTAATGGTTACAAAAAGAGTGCATTGCGTGAGATAAATACAGAAAACCATAAATATTCTTTCTCCATTTTCTAATTGTAGGTTCAAATTACCAATAACACAAATGTTGATTAACTAAATTCATTTGATTAATACTTGAAACCCTTTTGTTTCGTAAAAGTCAACATAGTTAATTATTTATATTGGCTTTGTTCTTATTCATATTATCGGCGTGGATAACAATTCTATGCCTATCTTGTTGTTTTAATCGGAAGACTATTATTTTAGAAGTATTGTTTGCTAACTCAAATTTCTTCTGATTAAAAAGAGACAGGGAATATGGTTAGATTTATAAAACAAATTTTAAAGAGTCTAAAACTAAAGCACTCTATGCTAATAAACTATGCTAATTTGTCTCTCTCATTTCATATAAAACAAATTATTCAGTAGTTAATTGTTTTATGTTATAGTATTAGGGGATTAAGGAATCAGTCAGGCATTAATGAGTATACATCGCTACTGTGGTAATTAAAAAATAAACACTTATAATATGCATTTGGTCACTGTGACATCACTAGCGTTTGAGGGGATTAAGCGTTTTTTCGATAATTCGCAAAGTCGTTTTTAGGAGAGGTCTATATTTGCGACTTCGATGAAGATTTCTGAATCAATTATGAATGGATTTGAATTAAATTGCTGTAATTCTATAAAATAAACACTGGCTTTAAAAGTACATACACATTTTATATTTTCATTTTATGTGCTCTTGAAAATGTTGTTTCTTGTACGTTGTTGTTAGTTTTGTTACCCTTGTTAAAAACTATTTGTTTTGTTTGATAGTATTATGCTGATGCTAATGAAGCTGAATGGTGGATGAGAGAGAAGATGCCTATTGTTACTAGTGATGATTATGGTAAAGATGCTGCCAGTGCTCAGGTAAGTTATTTATGATTATTTAGTATTGACGCTTTGTGCACTATTTTGATATATTTCGGACTTAACTGTTCCGTCATTCAGAATTATTGTAAAAACTCTTCAGGTCAGAGGTTTTAATTTCCTTTTCTTTGAAAACTTTCTGTGATTGTTCAGCTAAATGTAAGCAGGGACCCTGTTAAAATGAGAGTTGTACATTGATTTTATACAGAGTTATTGACCCTGTCATTGAAACCTTGTAATTCGTAGTTTATAGAAAAAAAGTTCAAACTTTCTAGGATGATTTGAGTAATCATTAGGAGGAAATGCTTGACTTTGTGCTGAGTTATTGCCATGTATATAAGCAGTCATTGTCCCAGATTTGGGGCAATACCCATTTGTTTTGGGTATAAATTTTCTTTAATTTATTTGTATCTATTCTGTAGGCTCTTCTTTCCCGTCACAATCGTCTAGAAAAGGATATCAAGTCTTTTAATACTGAAATCAAAAGATTAGAAGAATTATCTGTCTTGATGACCAAGGCTTCCACTGAGCATAATGTAAGTATTATGATGATTACCATATTTTGTAACGAGCTTGACCATTTTGATTTGGATAAAAAAACAAATTAATTTTTGATTTAATTGAATTTGATGTGTTGGGTTATTTTGTGTTTTGGGTATCTGTCTACATTTAAAATTTTGCATCCACAGATAGTGCCAATGTATTTTGTATTTCAACAGTTGACCGTTAAGAAAAATAAAACTGAAATTTGTAATAAAAAACAAAAAAACCTGACCTCTGGATAATTTAAGACCAAAGTCTGAATCTGTAAAATTTCTATCATAATGATACCAGTGTGGAGGCATCCATGAATGATGAAAAAATTGTAGTTCTTAAAACATACTTTTTTTTTTCTTCTTGTTATATGTGAAAGTCTGTAATGTATGTGAAAGTCTGTAATGTTTTCGGTGTATTAATATTTGTGTATGTTCATATTTGGTTTCTAGTTATATACTTTTTGATACCTTGATTTAGGCAACACAGAGATAGGCTTTGCCCCACCCTTTAATATTTTCACCAATCAAACCATTACCTAATAGAAGAATATAATATAATTACCAAATATAATGTACTCACATTAATTACTTCTAGAGTTATGGCCCTTGTATCACTTTGTAGAACCTTGTGAATGCTCTGCTGACAAAATTTATTAACCTGTCTTGTTTTAAATTTATATTCATTATTCAATTTCTGTTAATTCCATTTAGAGTCGCATCCCTTGTTTCAAGCCAAAGAATCGTGTCAACAATCTAATGAGTTGTAGCCCTTGCTTACTATTTAGAAACTACTGAATGCTTTAGATCATCATCCAATTCACTTTAAACTTTATGTTCTTTGTTTTGATTAATGTGCAGGAGTGTGCATTATTCCACAATCTCCAATTTTTTCGTCGATGTAACCTCTGTTCTTCAACACACCCCTGCTGCGGAGACTCAAACTTTTTGTCCGTCCGTCACACTTTTTGGGACACAATAACTCTACTTCTAATTGAGCTAGAATGTTCAACTTGAGGTAGGTGTTTATTAGGTCGATGCCTTGATGGAGTTCGAAGATGAGCGGTTTCTGCTTAGGGTAAGCAGAGATAAGCAATTCGATTGGTTGATGCTTTGGGATACAATAACTTTAGTTCTAATTAAGTGAGAGTGAAACTTGGTGTATAGTTTCATCACATCAATAACTTTACTAAGTCTGCTGAGGGTAAGCAGAGCGATAAGCAATTTGATTGTTCGAGACTTTGAAACACAATAACTCTCCTTCCAATTGAGGTAGAATGCTAATTAGGTGAATGTCGTGATGGAGTGTGATGATGAATATTGTCTGCTTACTTTAACCAAATGATTGGTTGATGCTTTTGGGCACTATAACTTTGATTATAATTTAGTGAGAGCTATGAAACTCTGAGTATAGATTCATTATATCATTACCTTGACTAAGTTTGATGAGAATTTTCAGCTATGGGTAAGGAGCAATAAGCAATTTCATTGGTCAAGACTTTGGAACATAACAACTCTTCTTTTAATTCTTTGATGTTCATTGGGTGAATGTCTTGACTGAGTTCAATGATTAACATTTCCCGCTAAAGCTAAGCAGAGCCAAGCAATTTCTTTGATTCTCTCTCATAGAGAGTGATGAAACTTAGTGTATAGTTGACAAAGATAAACGTGCAATTAATTAATGTGCCATCTGTTTTTGGGGGGATTTCGGCAGTGGATATAAGCCTCACTGTCTTCCTCACCTTAAAACTAAAATATGCTTCCTCATGCCAAAATATCCTTCCTCATTCATACATGAAATATTTTATTATTTTTATAAACTGATGACACTATATTCTTCCTCACAGCCAACACTACTCTCATACATGTATGTTGAGTGTCAAAATTCACTGAAATGTTGAAAATCAAATTTAGATATAAGGTCTATATTGTAGAAATATACATAATATACCGGATACATCATACATGAAAGTCAAATATTTTAATTAACTAGCAATCATTAAAGTAGCTAAGTCTCTAACTCAGTATCATCCAAAGACTTCGACATTGAAAACACAAATTATTTGTCAATTTAAATCAACATTGATGTTGTGTTCTTACCCGGGAAAGATGGGCTTCTGATATCCAATATTTAAAGATGGGTTCCCAGAAAAGTATTTATCGGGTGGTTATTTGCAAAAAAAGTATGGCAATCTTGGTATATATGGAAAGTAGAGATATCCAATCTTACTAGAAAAATACTGGATTGACGGAAAAACACTCATGGAGCGTATACAGGACAAAAATGAAGGTTTCTCCCAATCGACAGCCCGACGATTAGGAATTTCTGCACGCGTGATGTCATAGGTCACACGCGAACATTAAGCACTTGATGTACAAGTTGATAAACTTTATGAAGAGTTAGACGTACAACACTTTCCGAGATAAAAATGACGGAAAAAGACGCGGGTAGTGGATAATTCGAGAATTTAATTAGGATTCGATATTTGTAATAAATAGTAAGTGATTAAAGACAAAATCGTCTTATGTATGCAATGAATTCTCCTCTGACTTCCAAGAGAGGTAAGTCATGTGATGTAAACATGACCGGGTTTGATCAAATTTTTATAGCAGGGCATTCCTTCGAAATTACAATGTTTGAGAATGATTTGAATCAAAATTATGACAAATTAATTAGTTTGAATATGTTTTTAGTTCATATATACCATTAAATCACCCAGTTTGTACGCGGGAATGTATCTTTAAGGTAAAAATAAACATTTTACCGTTGGTACACGAATCGTGTACCATAATCATTTCAGCACCATTTGTAACAAGGAACTCGAAGAACAAGGATAGACATATTCCACAAGTCATGTCAGATGATGACTTCATATTCTTATCTGGAGAGCATGAGCAATAAATACTATTGGTGTAGACTGGAATAACCAGATGCTAGAGATTGCCATTCAGTTGAGACTTCTGGCGTATATCGCTGAACATAACTGATTTGAAATTAGAGTGACAACGGAAACGATTGAATGTAAATCAGTTTATATACATTCATATTACATTATTATATGCTTTACGACCCATACGTGTCAATTTCTAGGTCCCAAATATTAGCGATTTAGCTCCTTTAAGTGTTGATATTGTTATCAGTGTTCAGAGAAGTATATTCGTTCAACTGTCACTTTATATGAAATTCAACTGTCACTTTATATGAAAGACAGCACTTAAATTAGGAAAACTAATCTTATCTTTACACAAGACAAATAAAAAAAGGTCAAAACAAGATAAATGATGTTAGAATTTTTGTTAAGAAAATTGTAGAGATTTGTTTATGGAAGCAAGTCTGATGTCATTTGTTCTTTGTTCTTTAGACAAAAGCCAAGCTCATTTCCTGCATCTATAACACTTATGTCTTTATTTTATTAGAACACTGGCCATTGTAATCAATTATTAAGATTTTTTGACACCGGGTTGTCTTATGTTCCTTTAAAAATCAATTACTGGTTGTGAAGAGCAAGTTGTTGGTTGCTAAGGAAAATTGTCTCTGTTTACTTGCTTAAAACAGCAGATCGCGTGATTATGAAAACTTCCTCTTGTGTGATACATCATCGTGACATAATTAGTATTATTGACAGGCTGGAGCTCAGTCTACGAGGATCGTACTGACCAGGCAGTATTGCACACTTTCATATCGAGCCATTTTTCTTGTGTGTTCAACATGTTTAACTTTTGGCCTGTTTGAAATGATTGTCTTGAAAATTGACTAAAATTACTGGGGGAACCTTCCGTCATGTACACACTTAAAAACTATCATATTTTTCCTTAACCCATTTCAAACTTGGCTGAGATTATTAATCTTCACACATGACTATAAAATGAAGTGCACGTGTAAAATGAAGAGTACAACTGGTTGTCAACATGATATTGTGTGTTATGGTGATTGTTAAAGATGCATTATGTATGATATAATAAAGAGCTGGAAGTTATTGCTAAAATAGTTCCAAAATGGATAATAAAGTATAGATATATTGAAAATGTCATTCAAATTACTTTATGAGTGGGGGGGTGGATGGCCGAATGGTTAGCAAGCTCGCTGTATCACGAGGCCTGTCATTGAGTCAACTGGCGTGGTTTCGAATCCCTGGTTGTACGTGACAAGGAGTAGGGTTGCCTGTCCAACCTCATGGGTTTTCTCCAGGTCCTCCAGTTTCCTCCCACTGCTAAAGACCCCTATGCGCAAGCGAATTATTGAAATAAAATTAAACTATGTTAGTCACGAAATGACATAGTCTGTGTCGAGTGGACGTTAAACCACATTTCTCTTCTCTTTCACTTTATGTGTGAAGATATAGCGTAGATTGTTTATTATTGTTGATACTGTACTTGACAACCGAGGCAAAGTCTTAAGTATCCATTTTTGTTGTTAAAGTTTTAAATCTTACAGGTGTTCAAATTGATTTAAATCTTGGTCAGCCGTTCTTGTAGAGAGTTGATTTTAGGTTTTTTTATGTGAATAAATGTCTAAATAATAGTTTATATAACATTTGAAGCCAAAAGAAAGACCTTCAATAGAGATTTAGCTCAAATATTACATAATGCATCTTTAATTATGGTTGGCTTATAATATGAGAATCCTATTGAATGAAGAGAATAGGTCCATTCCTAATTAACCCCTACTTGAGCACCTTTGTATTGTCCATGGGTCAAAAGAATTTTCTAGAACAAAGCCCTTACAACTGTATTACAGTCACATAAAAAAAGATTTTGACAATGAAACATATTCATGTCTTCAATTGTGATTTAGGTAATCTTTATTTTGAAATGTTGTTATATATAGACATCGACCACAATTTCTAGAACACTCTTCAGACAACATTTATGATCCGATCGTATTAAAGATACATTCCTGCGTACAAACTGGGCGATTTGATGATATATTTGGACTGAAAACATATTCAAACTAATTAATTTATCATAATTTTGCTTCAAATCCTTCTCAAAACAAAGAGGTCATGTTTGTGTCTCGTGACTTACTTCCCTCGGTGCCTATAGCAACCCTTGCAAGGTCGGAGGGGAATTGATTGCATACACAAGACGATGTTGTCTTTAATCGCTGACTATTTATTACAAATATTGAATCCTAATTAAACTCTTGGATTATCCACTGCACGCGTCTTTTCCCGTTATTTTTATCTGAGGAAGTGTTGTACGGTTTGTCGATTAGGGGAACCCTTACATTTTTGTCCTGTATACGCTTCATGAGTCTTTTTCAGCGAATCAAGTATTTTTCTAGTAAGATTAGATATCTCTACTTTCAATATATACCAAAATTGCCATACTTTTATTGGAAATAACCACCCGATAAATACTTTTCTGGGAACCTATCTTTAAGATTTATGCATGTTGTTTACATTAGTGAGATGAAGTTTATTGAATTTCATAATAACTTCCCAGATTTTTTTGCCATTGCTCACTATGTAAAATTTTTTGAATGCTGTATTGTCAGAAGATATAGCATCTGCCAGAAATGTATTTTCTTTGTTGAGATAAGTGGAACCAAGACACTTTTCACCAATTTCCATTAACTACCTCTAGGGATATGACCCTTGTTCACTTTACGGATTCTTGTGAAATCACTGATTGAAAAAAATACATCAATATTAAAATAATGAAGCACACAAAGGTTAATTTAGAATATATTCAGATTATCTATTGAACATTCCTGATTAGTTTGAATCACTTAGTTAATTAGCGACCTATTTCTTGACATGCAGACATGATAAAACGAATATTTATTCATATAGATTATCGTTGTGTTTCATTGACTTCATTCTTCCATATAGACTCTGTTGATTATTGGTAAAATTATAAACATAATTCTTTTTGTCACACCATGTTTTTCTTAGTATTAATCTTTTACTAAGATATATCCCAGTTATTTTTTAATTAATCACATCATTAAATATCTCAGGGATTATTTTTTATCTTTTTTCATGATTTTGGGTATAAGATTCAAGATTCCCGCTTCTCATAGTCTATGTTACATTTAAAGTCGGCACATCTAGATTTTAAATTTGCCTGTAGCTCAATGTTGCAGTCGTGAAATCCATTAATATTAATAGGTTAACTAACATAGGTAGATTTATGAGCTTCCTTATCTGTGAAGAAATAAATTATTCAATAAAGACCTTGGCTTACACACAGTGGAGAATTTGATGAGTTGTCTATCAACTACATCTACAACCGTCACATTCACTAAATTGAAAAAAATATAATGTGCTAGGCTTCGTAAGTGATTGTTCATAAAGATTGTGCAAATTGCATTCACATGAGCCTTAACCAGGCCATATATGTTAGGTCACCTACTTCTTCTGCTAGATATTTGTTAGGAATGCTGCCAGGATGGGTTTTATTTTTTAGATTTGTTCAAATGAAACTACTTGTCACTTTAGGAGGATCTTTTAGGGGCAAATTTAGATAATGTTTATAAATCTTATCCTGAGCGGATATCTTGTATGATCAAGTGTGTTAAATTTAAGGGGTGTAACGGGACAGGGGCACCATTAACACACAATATTTAAAATGTCATATATTACCATTCACCCTGTCAATCTGTCATCCAGAAATTCTTGTGAACAATCTACAAAATACATTTATCATTCAATCCTTTTAAAATTTGTATATTGAAATGTATCGGGATAATATTTTTGTAGATATCACCAGCTAAATTCAGTCTTCCTGCAGAAAACGGAGAAAAATCTGATGAAGAAGAGTTTGGTGAGGAGGTTATAGAAGTTCCACAGGAAGTAGAAGTGGAAAGAGTTGTTGAACAAGAAGTACTTCAAGATGTTGTGGAGACTAGAAAAATACCTCAGGTCAAGGCCATGTATGCTTACAAAGGTCAAGATACCAAAGTTGATAAGGGAGAGGTGAGACCTTAATTACAATCATTTGATATTTTCAGCTCTCATTACAAATTTGATTTTCAGTCCACTAAAAACAGAGGGTTTGGGTAGTCGAGAGGTTAAATTCCTGCACTTTAGTTCATAATTTCTATCATTGAGGCAAGGAGCATGGTTTTGTTCCCAAGCTTGTACGTGACATGAATGAGTGACGCCTGCTCATCCATATGGGTTTTCCCCAATGACTCGGATTTCTTTCCATTGCCATATCCACGGTGGATAAATGGGTAAGATGCTGGCTCGCTAGCCTGGAGGTCATCAGGATTTTCCGGTGTGGCCTCCCCTTGTCAGTGGTGCAGGAGGGAGGGTCCGACAAGGACAGTTGTCTAGTCATTTGGATGGCACGAAAAAAACGAGGTCCAGGGTATACATTGACATGCACGTAAAAGATCCGTTGGCAGTTGAAATTTGATATAAGAGTAGACCTTAGCACCACTGTCCGGGCAATATTAATATTTTCCTTCATAGCACACTGTATGGTGTGTGCCTGTCTTCATTAGCCCAGTAGGATGTTAAACCCCATTCCATTTCTTCCCACTGCTAAGACTCCTAACTGCATGGGAATTATTGAAATAAAATTGTACAATGTTAGCCCCAAAATGACCTAGTTTGCGTTGCGTGGACGATCCTCTCCATTAAAAAAGATGGACTGGCTTACATATGCATGATTCCTTGAAAATTATTAAAGGCAAATAAAGGTTTGGACAAATATTATTGTAGTATGAGGGTATGCTAAAGGCATGGATGACAGATTTATTTGTCATCGGCGGTAAGCAAACAAACAGATAATTAGTTCCCAAATATTTATTGATTATAACATAGATAAATAAATACTAAGTTGATCCTATCATACAAACATAACAATATAGCACTATACATAATATACAACTAATATAAACAACTGGTAGTGTACGTAATTTACCATACCTTCATACCTTGAGGACAAAACTATCCTTTTAACCTTTTGGTTTGCCATGTTATACAGACACCAGATTAGTGATAAAATCAGACAGTTTTAAGTATCTAAAGCAAAATCTTCAAATTACCAGACGGTTTTCAGTATCAAAGCAAATTAACAGTAATTTTGAGACAAAAAATTCATTTGAGCTTATTACAAATGTAAACATATAGTTACCAGGCAAAGAATATAAGGCCAACAGCAGCTTTTTAAATTATGGCTTTCAATTCTAAAACTTGAAAAGGCATTGCATCAGAGATGAAAAAAATAAATGGAGGGAACCCAATTCTCGTCTGATTTTGGTTGAACTTAAAATATGTTTATATCCCAAAGATTTCAGTTTCTTTCGATATCCAAACCATAACTTCACGGATTATGGTTCCTGATTGTACGGAAAATCGCGTTTTTTTTTTTTTAGCTTGTTCTCTATCCATCTCTTGCAAAATGTGGGTGTATCTTGCATGGCAACTGCTGGTATATAATTGATATAGATAACTGAAATTACAAAATAATATTAAAGGCTCAATACCACTCTTGTTGTAACTGAATAATATGTCCCAATCTTTATTCTGGTCAACAAATTGTACTATTTTACAATATTCCAATTAATTGATGATACAAATTCATCTTAACACACCTAATTTAAAAAATTGGAAAAATTCAACTAAATGATTTTGAAAAGCCTGATGTAAAGCTTTTCAAATGTGACTTGGATTTAAAAATATTGTTGAACCCTTTGGACAAGTAAAATAGGATTTAATGGATAATTTACACAACAGGTAGGACACTAACACATCTAGTACTTAGAATAAGGCTATTTTTTATTTTCTGTAGCTGTCAAGCCAGCAAGAGTGTTATTGTCCCTTTAAGAACGACACATCGTTTGAATTTTTCTTTAAAATATCCAATTTCTAATGGCTTAATCCACACTACAGAGTACTTGGATCACTTAATTAACATTTAATTAAGAAAACAAAATCAATATACATATACTAGATAACCAAGTGGCTTGGATTCATTCCGTTTGAAAATGATTCTCCCACAACAAACTTATGGTTGGCTTATCAAACAGCATAGATCGATGAAATTTCAGTTCAACATAACTTGTTTAAATATTCATTGGACTGATATTCATATTAGAGCTTTTTCTTTCACAATAGGGGGGTTAAATGATCGAATGGTTAGCACGTGCGCGTTGTATCATAAGGTCTGTCATTGAGTCTGTCATTGGTTTCGATTCCCCTGTTGTACGTGACATGGAGTAGGGTCCCCTGTCCAACCACCGGTTTTCTCCCACTGCTAAAGATCCCTACGCGCAAGCAAATTATTGAAAGAAAATTTAACCATACATGTTAGTCCTTGTGTTGAGTGGATGTTAAACCCAATTCCTCTCTCTCTTTCACAATATTGTAGTTTGCAAGTGATTTTAATATAAATAACTTAAATTCAAAAATGATATTAATTATACTATATAGACATCATAATTTCATAATAATCAGAGATTGTATAGATTGTTAACAATCTGACAACAAAAATTAAACCAAATTTACCTGTTTTGTATGTTTGTTTCTGGAGTTTTACATCCAGTGGGTAAGACGCTGGCTCGCTAACATTGGCCGAGAAAGTTCATTGAGATTTTCCGGCGTGGTTCCCCCTTGTCAGTGATGCAGGACGGAGGGCCTGACAAGGACAGTTGTCTAGTCCTTTGGATGAGACGAAAAACCGAGGTCCTGTGTATATATTAGAATGCACGTAAAAGATCCCTTGGCAGTTGGAATTCGATATAAGAGTAGGCGATAGTGCCGCTGACCGGGCAAAATTTCCCTCATAGCACACTGTATGGCGTATGCCTGTCTTCATTAGCCCAGAATAGGAGCAGAACAGTAGGACGTTAAACCCCATTTCATTTCATATCACCAAGGGTGATATCGTACACAAGATCACATTCAGTGGAAGTAGATGTAAAACTCCAGGTTGATCTTATAAATGGCAGACAAGATTGGTTACGTTGATTACTGTCATGGATGGCTGAATGTTATATTTAGCAACAACGGAAAGTTTTTTTTAATGGTTATTGAATAATATAATTGGTAAGGTAACACTAGTAATGTCATTTAATGATGTTTTTTTATGAACGTTGAATAGTATAATTGCTAACAAGAGGAAAGTTATTTGGAGTTGTGGAACTTGCTTCAACGGAATTCCTTCGTATTATCTGCCACCAAATCCTTTTATATGCTCGACGAAAATCTTTTCTAAATATTCCATAAATGAGAGGATTTACAGCACTGGAAAAGAACGCCATTATACTAGCTAAAAGGTTCAAATAATTTGGTAAAGGTGATTCCTCGTCAATACTAACTTTATAAAGTTTCGTGCAACTGAATGGTGTCATGCACAAAAAATAAGCCAGTACCACCATAAGTAAACTTTTGACAGCTTTGGAACTTGTGCTGTATTTGGCTGGAGAAGAAGTGTTATTTAAATGTAAATTGTTAAGGTTATTCCTCTGTTCCTGAAGTCTCCGGTGCTGTTTATGAGCAATGGTTAAAACATGACAATAACAATAGGTCAACACTAAGCCTGGTAGAAGGAAGCACAAAAGAAAAGCAAAAATAACGTAATAAAGAGCCTGTTCCCTTTCTTTGTACCAACTTATAGCACAGATAACTTCCCAGTAGTCAAACTCAATCCAGTGATACAACACAGGAATAATGGAGAAAGCGATTCCTTGGAACCATGCGTATAAGATCATGCACATAACTCGTTTTTTGGTTATTTTGGACGGGTAATGAAACGGATGAGCTATCGCTATGTAACGATCGATACTAATAAAACACAACGTCATCATGGAGACTATTATCAAACAGTAATTTGCAGCACAGACAAAATAACACCAAAATATTCCAAACGGCCAAACATCGGCAATAAACGTTCCAAGAGAACTTAGCATCACCACGATGGTTGTTGATAGATCAGTGATAGATAAATTAACGATAAATAAGTTTGAGATTTCTTCCTTTAAGTATGAAAATCTGAATACAGATATGATAACAAAAAGGTTTCCAATTATAGCTTCTAAAATAACTATAAATAAAATCACAGACCAAATCACATTCTCGTACAACGTGCGAAGATTCCCGGTGCCGGTTTCGTTGGAATAATTGGTCGAAAAATTTAAACTGTTCATATCTTTGGTAACCATTATTTCCACTTCCAGTGATACATTATAAAAACATAATCACATCAGTTATCAACTTTTGATGTCATGTTCAGTATTCCATTCAATGAATCAACTGTGGTATATTTTACTTATGTCATCCTGAATGAAGCTCAATCAGTGTCAGCTTGTTTATCCCATTGTGATCATCAGATAAATGATGTGATGTATATAAAGGGCATATGCCTCTATTCTTTGAAACCTTAAAATAGATGAAAATGGATTTAAGGCACAAAGTAATGCAATTTGAATGTATATAAAGTGAAATATATTCAATTTTTATACGCCCACATTGAAATGTGGTCGTATATTGTTGTCGCCCCCGTCCGTCCGTCCGGCGTCCACAATTGCTTGTGGACGCTCTAAAGGCTAAAGTTAATATCCGATTGACTTCAAATTTATATACAGTGTTTAAGACCATGAGACGAAGACGCCTATTGATTTTCAGTGATTTCTGATAATTACTGTCAGAGTTATGGCCCTTGATCACTTCAAAAAATCTTGTGCACGCTCTAGAGGCCAAAGTTAATATCCGATTGACTTTAAATTTATACACAGTGTTTAAGGTCATGAGACGAAGAAGTCTATTCATTTTCAGTGATTTTCGATTATTACTGCCAGAGTTATGGCCCTTGATCACTTCAAAAAATCTTGTGCACGCTCTTGAGGCCAAAGTTAATATCCGATTGACTTCAGATTGATACAGAGAGTTTAAGATCTTGAGACGAACAAGTATATTGATTTTCAATGAATTTTTATGACTTGGAATAATAGTAGAACTTTATAAAA